GCACCTCCTAATGTTTTTTTCATATGATATTGTTAATCCCATATACTAACTGTAACCTGAAAAGAAAGTTTAGGTAAATAAACTGGTCATCCCCAAATCTTTTTTCCTAATTTTGTTGTTGCACTGTGTTTTCATAAGAGTATGCTAATTACTTCACAAACTTTAGTTTTACATCAATGAAATTTGTTTGGGAATACGGTATGGCTCCAGTTCTATTCCCAATTAAGCTGGTGCAAATTTCATTTAAGTTAGTGGGCACTGCACTAGTGGGAGGACAGAATTTGACCCCAAATATCTTAATTTAACAAGAGAGAAAGATAGACCAAAGAGCAAGGATAACGAATTTTTACTTATAGCAGAACAAAAACATCTGAAGCCACAAAATGGATTTAGTTCCCATTTGTTTCTCTTATATATACAAAGCAGAAGCAATTCATGAAATTTTGAGGAGGTAACAAATCAGTTATTCCAGATAAATAATCTGTACACCAATTTATGGCAGACTGAATTTGTATCAGGATCCAAAATATGTGGGTTTAGAAGTAAGCACTGACAAAATCTTAATGATAAGTGTGGTGATAAATATCCTATGAAATAGTAGTCAAGTTTAGCTGTGCAAGGAAAACCCACATATATAATGTTTCACTAAAAAGAAAAATGAACAAATACACACTAGTATTTTACTCTGGTGTATCTAAACACAGAAGAGGATCATACAAAACTTTATAGAATTAGTGTAGTACACATTTTTTACAATGAGAAAACTACTGTTCAATCTGCAGTCTTCCATATAAATAGAACAAAAAAACCCAGTGAAATACATGATAAACCCAATTAATGGGAATACAAGGAGACCATAATCTCTGCCAAGACCTAGCCTTATAAACCTAGGACATACAAAGCAATCTTTCTATGCCATATCAAAAGCTATATGATGGCTGATGATTGAGTTTGCCTTCTTTTTCAAAATTCTTCCCTGTTCTTTAGAACTGATTTACATTAAATGAAATTTAGCGTTCACTTTGGCTTCATTCTTCCATATTCAATAGACATTCTTTCAAACAGAAGTCTTCCATATCTCTAATCATTCTCATTTCCTGTGTATTTCTTTTTCGCCTTCTTCAGATGAGGCATCCAGAGCTGAGCACAGTATCCAAAGAAGGGTTACCATTGATTTATATAATGTCATAACATTGTCAGTTATTTTAGATCCCATTCTTATACATTTTAATGTATGCTTATCACCACTGAGCATGTTTTCACTGAACTGTCCACGAGGAAACCAGAACTTTTACCTGAGTAGTTTCAGTTAATTTAGAATCAGTCAGAGAGTGAGTTCTCAATGCCTTAAAGAAGTAGCCCCAGAATGAACAAACGTGTATTCAGGACATAACACTGAACAAAACAAAACAAAACTGAAACAAACAAACAAAAGTTCAAGAAAATATAAATAAGTCTGCCACTTCATCATACACATATCTCCACCCATTTGTAACAAACTGAACTTAACATGCACCTTAGACCACATCAGTATTCCTACTAATCCATCTTTGCAGAATTACTAATTTTTCAAACTTCAGAGCATCTTCAAAAGCTGCCATTAAAAATGAACAAAAAGAACCGGTCACAGAAATGGGTCTCTTTTCCCACCTCTTCAAATGCAAAATGCCTTCCCCAAGTTAGTGATGTAAGGTCCTGAATGGTAATACTGAGTCCTCTAAGAGTGACAAGTTGACCATCCAATATCTTGTGACCCACGAAGTTGGCAACATGAGGCTTAAAATAATTAAAAAGCCAAAAATCCCCATGTCAATTCATACAAAGCATTTTTCAGGAAATAATACAATTTAATTTAGTCTAAATGGGTTGGTTAATTTAGCATGCCAAAGCCAAAGTTCTCCAGAGCCAAGGGCCATTGGGCTGATGTGGTTAAGGAGCTCAGCTTTCAGATCCCCTCAGGCTTTGGCTTTGAACCTCCACAGGTGGCAGGGCTTGGGCTCAGGCTTTGGTCCCCCTTCTTGGGGTCATTTAGTAATTTTTGTTGTCAGAAGGGGGTCAATGTGCAATGAAATTTGAGATCCGCTGGACTAGGATCACCTCTTAAGGCTGAGAATGTAGTTTATTTTCCAGGCCCACACAGTCTTCTGCCTTTTTTCTAGCAAAATTTTGTTAAACTTGCACTAGGGTTAAGACAAACAAACAGGTGAGCTGCAAACAACAGTGTTAATTTTAATTTTGCTGGTTGAGGATTTGTAAGGTGGTATCTGTCCTCTAAGAACTGGACTGAGATCACCTTGGCATTACACATAGATAACCATTAAATGGCACAATTAACTTTGGGTTCCTACTATTCTGGGTTGGATTTGAACCATCAGCCTAGAGGTAGAAAACACCATAACACAAACAACATAAACCATCCTACCCTCTTATTTGTTAGTGTCAGTGCAAATTTAATGGACATTTTTCTGATTTCATTTAAATAAATTTGCAAGTCATAAGGTTTATTCTGCTCAGACTAGGAATAAGTACTGGAAGTATGGGGTGAGAGGACTTCTCCCTGTGGCGCAGCAAATGGAAAAGCTTCAGAATTAAACAACAAAGATTGCTTTAAAGCAGCCAATTTCTTGAAAGCTGCTACAGAACTTTTTGTGTTTATATTCAGTTTACATCATTAAGGCCATACATTCTCATTTTTTTGTCCATTTGCTTCTCCCCCTTTTCAAAACCGAGTAGGATGGTACATGCATCTCATATGAAGTTAAATATATTAGATGAAGTCCTAAAGCAATCTTTGATGGGAATATATACCCCATGTCCAACTCCAAGTAAAAACAAGAAAATAAATTAAAGGTATTGTCAAGAGAAGTTTCAAAACAACTGCGACGGAGGAAGTGGGGCAGGGGTACGTCAGGAAACCTTGTAGAGACATATGTCAATCAAACCAAAATAAATTCTGAGTTAAAACTGCTCTGGCATCATAATCTCAAAATTGTTTGCATAGGTACTGCAATTTGCAACACATGGATTTCTGGAAGAATGAGTGATCGTCTTGATTTTACATCTTATCCCAAGCACTCTAAGAGCAAAGGATTAATATTAACATGGGGCAAACTATGACAACTGTTATGATAATTATTTGGGTTCAAAGTTCTTAAATTGAATTGCATACTGAGGTTTTTTTTAATATAAAAATATTTTTATAAAGCTATCAGAAATCTACTTCTTCTGGAGAAGAAAAATTTCTAGTTGCATTTTGTATGTATAAATCCAGGATAGAGGGCTGTCTGCCTTGCAGGTATCAGTTCCTGTAATCAATTAATGCTTTTATTAATGTTAGTATTGTTTCAGTTCTGTATTTCAGTTACAAGGTTTCCTTAAAAAAAAAAAAAAAAAAAATCCTTGTTTTCTTCAAAATGCCAATTCAAACTTATGCTGAACTTGATTTCAAACAAGCAAAATATTATATTCTGGAAACCTTGACTTCTATAGAAGAGTAAACAAAACCTTAACAAGAACAATGCATGATGATAAATATGAGGTGTTTGAAGGAGAAATAGCATTCACATTTCTAATATTTATCTAAACTTTGAATTTCAAAAGTAAATCGCTAGCTCAAACAAACAGTTAAAACCATCCTCTTAAAAAATGAAGTTAATAACACAAGACAGTCACAAGAAATCTGAACAAATCTGTTGTCTGCAGATTACTGAAACATTCCTGCACAACTACCTTAAGAACACATATGGTTCTTATAGTCACAAAGTTTTCCATTAGCTTTTTTGCATTCAATCCAAATTTCAAATCTGACTTACAAAAAGATTTCCGGGCACGAACACAACGGTACAGATTTCCATACTATTTCTCTTGATTGCAAATAAATGAACATGTATGCTGCATGTTCAGTTTCTGACAGGTACACTGTTGAGGTTTACATTTCCTGGGGGAATTCTGTGCTAAAAATTTTGCACACAATATTTTAAAATTCGGAATATTTTATTTGTCAAAATGACACAAAATAATCACGCCAGTTTCAATTATTTTGGTAATTTATTTCAAAATACCAGCAAGTATGTCTGCAACAATACAGACAACAAAAAAGATTCAGAAAATGTTTTTTGACAAATAAATTCCTTATTAGGCATAATAATACAGAATTGTGAGTAATAAATCATTTAAACGACAATATAGAAATGCATTTCCCACACCCTGCAGAAGCAGTGCTAAGGCTTGGGGAAGTTAGGGGTAACAGAGGAGCTGAGGGAGAGGGAAGTAATTGCTGGGAAGGAGCCTGGAAGTGAACCTGGAAGGTTTTGGGTGGTGGTGGTGATAGGAAACAGAGTTTTTGTTTGATGGGGAGGGGTAGGGGAGGCATTGTTAGGGATTTGAGGATCCTCCCCCATGCAGACCCTGGCTGCCCCCTAGCCTCTCCCATTCATTTGGGCACATCTGCCCTGTCCCAGTCTTTCCCTACTCTCCCCCTCCCCATGTGTCCTTGCACCCACCGCCACTTCCATTCAGCATCTGGCTCAATGCTGTCCTTCCCGAGTCTGTACCCGCCACTAGCCCTTTTGAACCCCAGTCTATGTGATCCCCCAGCAACCCTGTGTGGCCAGCTCTGTCCGTCCCCCTTCACCCGGCTCTGCAGGCATATTGTTGTGAGAAAAGCAGCCTCTGCTCTCTCCCTCTTTGTGGCTTGCTGCTCTGGCTCGTGAGCCAGCTGCCCTCTCTTCTAGCACCACAGTAGCCCCTGGAGGGCAAATGGAGTAATTGTAGCACCTCTCTGGCAGAATGTATTATTCTGCAGAGAAAATATCTGTGGGGGACATGAATTGTGTGTGCGCATTGGAGTAGAAGTCCCCCAGGAGTAGGAAAGGAAACACCTTTTAGAAATTCTTGAGTTGGAATGGGTCAAGGAAACAAAACAAACGAAGAGTAGAACATGCTTAATTCCGAAAAAGCATATTATACTTCTGAACTGATACAGAAGAAAATAAAAATACCTGCTCTTTTACAGAAGCTAGAATGGTAGTGGCAGTAGTCTCTGGCTCCATGCCCGGGCCTGTGGAGGTTTCCTGGGTGGTCTGCTGCAGACCTTCCTCCACCAATGGGGTCTGCTCAGGAGCTGGCATATTGCCTACAACCAAACAACATTTAACTAGTTAATATTTTCAGCTGGTGATGTTTAAATAAACGCAAGTCTTCTGGCATAGACTTTTTGGCAAAGGTTTAACATGAAAAAGAATTTTTCATATTCTGACTATCTGCATGTATTGCTATCAACATTGTGCTTCTCTACCAATTTTAAAAATACTGCTTTATGGTACCAAGTAGAGATAGCCAATGCAAGCAATTTTTATTAGCAAATAAATGCACTTGCACTTTTCAACACTGAATAATAATAAAAAGCAGCATGTTCCAAGAGTATTTTACATCTACAAAGTGCTACACACAGGGCTCTTTAATTATTATGAATAATTAATGCACACATTTTGCAGAAAGGGAAACGCAGACAGATAAAGTGAATTGCTCAAGCCCTGTACACAGTGAGACAGAGGGTGGGATAGCTGGGATTGGAACTCAAAAATTCTAAGGCTCATGATCAATGAAACGGTATGGTCTAAAAGGCTGAAGACAAAAAACATGCTATTAAGGAATGAGAATTATCTTTGTATTTAGTTAAAAAAGTTAATCAATACGAACAGTACCAAAGTTAGCATCCAGTAACACATCATAAAATGGTACATGTACAGGAGACATATCATTCCACAAATCAACTTTTATAAGTAAATGTTCTAAATAATCAATACATATTGCTGTGCCATCTGCATATGGTGCTCCCGTCTTCCTTCACAAGCAAGAACAAAACAAAAATGAGAATTAACTTACTGAATGCTTTTCCAGAGCAAACAAAGCTTTATGCATAATTGTATTAATACTCTGCACTCTTATAACTCCTTCCAGTCTAGGCTCTCAGAATGCTTTACAAACATTTCATGAATTAAACCTCAACAACCACTCTATATAAAAGTAGATAAATATCTGCTTCTTCATTTTTACAGAGGACAAAACTTGGGCTTCATAGCAAACTTGCGGCAGTGCCAGGCACTGATCACACTAGTCCTGAATTCCTGGTCAGTTTTCATCACATCATCTCTCTCCTGCCTGTCAATTATATGCTGATTCACTTTAACTCCTGCTTAAAGGAAAAAGCATTGTCTATGCAAGACTGTTTAAGTAAGGTATAAGTAATGGCAAATGTGTACAAGAAGCGTACTTTTCCTGTAAAGCCCTCAAAAGTGTTTTTTTCTTTAAGAGGAGCGTTTTAGTTAATATGTAAGTTAACTCTTGTGAAATGTTAGTTTTAACTGGACAGATATAGAACCTGAATATGGTTTTTTCCTTCAGTTTGTAATCCTTGTAGAATTTGCACTTTTGAAAGAACCATTTTTCACTTTTAAATAACTATTCCTAAATGCATCCTCTTAAATGTTATGCATTCCCTATACTTGACTGCCAACTGTAGGGCAGAAGAGTATCTTCTCCAAGATGCTTTCACAAATGTGTGAGCTAGATTCTGTGATATTTCAAAAAAACCTTAAAGAAATTAAAATAATGAAGAGAAATTAGAGGAGAAATGTGTGGAAAATAGAAATGTAAAAGCAAAGACTTTTAAACTTTTTATATGATACCGATCTGCTTCTGGTGAAAGAGAATACTTTTGTTTATCTTTACAAGTTTAGAAAGAGGTTAAAAAAGCCAGAAACATTAGTACATCATGGTCTTTAATATTGTATGTAGCAACTTTAGCAGAAGTTAAAGTTCTAAAAGTGCTTTAAGTAAAACCATGTAGAAACGGACTAAAATAATCTGGGTTGTTTAAAAGTAAAAACAGAAATTAATGGCATTTACAGCAATGATAAAGTAACTCATCTAAACTGAAGTAACATCAGAAGTTGAAATGAAGATGGGATGAGTGGGGAAAAACATGTTACATATATACACTATATTTTATTTCAGTATTATATTCTTTGGCAATAAGAAACAAAGAAGGGATTGTTGCTTGAAGTGAATTAGTATAGACCGAAGTGTTTAGTAATCAGATTAAAGAAGAACATTTGTTGTTGTACTATTTTTATTGTATTCATTGTTTTTTTTCTGAAAGTAGCAGCACAGAAAAAAGGGAATGCCAATATAGTGTTTCAGTTCCCACTGACACCGTGTGAGTCATCAACATGCTGCTTCACAGTATTGCCAACATCAATTGTTAAAAAGTCATCAGTCAAACCCAAAGAATCAAGAGGTTTGTTTTTCTTAATCATATTTTTTAGTCAAATTTTAGGTTCTTACTATTTGCCTTCTGGATTTTGAGATTTTTGGGGTATGTAATGGTCTCCACTCAGGGTCTGATTGGGAAGCATGGCCTAGTGGTCACAGCCACAACCCCAGACTGCCAAGGAGGTTGTGGGGAGGGGAACCCGGGCCTTCCCACTCTACCGGGCTCCGACCCAGGGCCCTTTTAGTTACCAGTAACCTGGCAACCAAGACTATTTAAGGCTGTCCTCCCTGGGCCTCTTCCTCTCGTCGCTCCCACCTGGGGTCACCTCAGTCCAAGGCCTTCGCCTGATGGGAAAATCCAAAGTCGCCACTGTCCAGCGCCACAAAATATTTCCCTCTCTCTTGTCTCTGCAAAGCATCCTCCCTTTCCTCACAGAGGGGCCCCTTTGGGCAGCTGCATCAGAGCCATTAGGTTTCACTCTGCTCTGCTGGAGCTGTGCTGCTTGCCAACTGAGCTAATTCGCTGCCTTTTAATTCCTCCAGCAGATGAAGCATTTGCTGCAGGTTTGGTGGGACGGAGCTGGCTGAGCCCAAAATGAGCCCTTAAGCCCTTGTTGCTTAGTGTGGGGTTTGTACACCCCATCATAGGGTACAATTTGGTCATATATGTAAGCTTTTCTCTGTGACCATGAGGCAGGGTGGATTTGATTTAAATCACTAATCAGGAAGACTCGATTTAATCATGGTTTTCGACATAAAAGTGCATTCTTGTTGGTTGTTATAACCTTAATACATATTCTTCACAACTCAGAAATAGATGTAGGTTTCATTTTTAGAAGGTACACACTATACATTTTTAAACAGTGATTTATTTTGAAAACGTTTCAGTTTAGTTTTACAGCTATATCAGAAAATAAATGATTTTTTACCAAAGGTAATTGAAACAGATATTTATGAAGTCATTGGGAAGTGAACTATCTCCAATTCAACAGGTTAATGATTAATGTTTAGAGGATTTTCTTGCCAGGGTGTATTAGGAGGAGAACATCCCCAGACAGACATTTAAATTGTTTTATTTAACTAAAACAACAACATTATGTTTTCTGGATTTTTTTCTTCAAAAGCAAACATATAATAGTTTAACAAAACAAGCATATGTCCCTCGCTTCTCACATTTATCTCCAGACTTCTCCTTGTCCAGATCTATTCTCCCTCCCCCCGCCCGCAACAATCTTCTTATTTATTGAACTTTTTGAAACTTTGCTCTTTTAGAGAGAGTTAAGGTATTGACTCCGTGTACACAAATTTGCAGAGGTACAATAGAGTTGAGGTCTGTTTTTTCTCATATTTATATATTCTTTTTTTTTTTTAAACATTTTTTGCTGTTAACAAGCATGTTACCTCTGGAGCCACAAATCCACAGTTTGAGAACTGCAAAACTAAGCATCTCTGCTGGTATCTTCTAGACTGAGCACTGAGTCCCATTGGGTAGCTAGAAAGATTAACCTAAATACACTATACAGAAGCCTGTGGAACCCCATAAGATTGGGTCCTTAATCCATGAACTACTGGAACTCATTTACAAAACTTTTCCTAAACATCACATGAATATATTATCTCATACTATAGAATTAGAATTTATAATCCCTATTCCATGATGAGATATCTTTGAGCTATAATGCATCTTAATTAAAACGATCTTTAGATAGGTTTTTTCCTCAAAAAGCATTTTATAAAAAAATCTGATTTTAATAAAAAAAATTGATTTAAAAAAAAAATTTTAAATCATTGATTTTTATCCACCCTGCCATGAGGACAAGAAACTTATTTTTTTTTAAATGGAAACTTGAGATTCCCATTTAATCACTTGTTTCCAGGAGCTCGGTCTTTAAATAAAATATCAGATATCATGAGATCCACAGTAGAAGTGAAGAGTCAGTAAAAATGCATTAGTAATTATTCATTCAAAGGCTATTTGCACATTAAATGGGATATGATTCACCCAACTAAGAGATTGTGAATCGTAGTGCCACTGCCCTCCTCTGGCAACCTTTCAAATCAGAGTACTTAGTTGGGTTGTCTATATCAGTGGGTTAAATGAATAACTGAAGAAGATTATATAACAAATACAGATTGTGTGGTTTTAATAATAATATTGGTGCCATATGTCCAAAGTCATCTAGGCATTTTAAAACATAAATAAAAGCAAAGTACCAAATTAGCAGCTAAGGCAATTTACCAAAACAAAGCAAATGAAATCCAGACCAAACAGAAAAAGATGCTCTTCTCCCTACACATATACACAAAAGTCTTCATTCCCACCTTGATTGGTACTAGCTATATACTACAGCATAACACCAATTTGGTAATTAGATTTACTAATACTCAGTCAACTTACTATCATTTCCGTGCAGTAGGTGGGGCTGTGCTAGTTTTATTGACCTTCTGCAGGAAGCACATTTCATAGGAAAGATTTGAGAAGGTCACAAGGGCAGGCATTACTGAAATCCTTTCCATGTATTTATCCTTGCACATATTAAAAAGATTAAAAATACCAATCCTGATCGTTGCAAAAACTTGTACTTCCAGGTTCTACTTCCATTAAAACTGAGCCCTTGTTGCCCACCTTTTATACTTGTGGCTAAGGCAGTCTTCAACATTAAATAAAGCCATCACAGAACAGAAACATTGTTTAGTGATTCCTCTTCCCCAGAACATATTTAATTCTACAGTCCTATCGAAGACTAGCCATCTCACAGTCTGCAAGCTTTGACCAGAAAATGAGATCATGCAGACTGACTCACCAGCACAAAGATAAGATAATACAGACTTGGGTATTAGCAACATGCTGACTGTATC